TTTTTTTTTCTTTCTCTTTTTTTTTTTTTTTTTTTTTTTTTGCATGAATAAAACACTTGGTTAAGGGGAGAGTGTATATTAGTACTGACTTATGTAACACAGTCTCTCCTATTCAGTGCATTTCTGAATAAAAGAACCAAATACTACTGTTATATCTGAGCGAAATATCATGAGTTACTCAGGAGTACGCCTTAGTCTTACTAGACAGAAAATTCTGGTAGAATTAGTTATCTGGTTTCCAAGACTGCAGTAGATTAGCAGCACCAATGTAGAAGGTAAGTCCACCACAAGGACCTAAAGGGAAAGAAAGCTTTCAAGAATCAGCTGTTGGGACCATTTACTTTTGCAACAAATATTACAATATACTTCAGTAAGTATTTGTTTTAAATCACCATACAATAGCAACATACAGCAAAAAGTTTATTATTTTAGGACACCTTAGGAGGGTGAGGACAGTGTTTTTTATTTAATTGTATTTCTTGTGCCTAGGAGAATGTATGCTGTATGGTGGTGCTCAAACTCTAACAAAGTAGGGGCATGTGTATTATAATAAAAAGCAATGTCTATTTAAGTGGAACCACTTTTCAATTTTTTTTTCTTATATGCACCTGTTTAAATAAATAGTATTTATGTTATAAATAGTAAGTCCTTTTCTGTGAAGGAAACTTGACTATCCAGAATGATGCATTTCCCATCAGTTCTGGATAGCTAACACGAGTGGATTACTAGATGTAGGTGGTGCTTCTGTCTTCTATTGGATGTAAGATTATTAAGTGAATCCTTAAGTATAGAAAGAGGCCCGTGATTTTCGGTGAGGCTGGATAAATTTCTGCTTTTAACCATGTCAACCCTTTTTAGAAGACTTTGCTGTGTAGGAATATTGCATTAGAAGGCCAATGGGAAAAGTTGCATAACTTAGGGCCTTGGGCTCTGGAGTCAGACTGGTGAATTTGAATTCCAGTTTTGATACTTATCAGTTGTGTGGCCTTCTGCACGTAACCTTGGTGTGCTTGTTCCTGGTCATGACAATGGTGTCCACCTAAAAGGGCTGTTGTGAATTTCAATGAAATAAATGCATGTCAGAACTTCATCATATATTCAGGACTTTCCCAAGTCTCTGGTGCATGCTAAGTGCTCAACAATGGGGGGTAATCATTATAACTATTGTCATGATTACTACGTAACAGTAGAAAACATTTCATTAGTTCTGATATTAGTTTAATAGCATAAAGGGATGAGATTATTTGACAGTCATGTTTACAAATTGCCTTCCAGCAGTGGGAAGAGAGGCTGCAGGAACAGCAGAGAACAATGCAGGATAAGAAGCGAACAGCCGGGCGCACCAGTCGTAGTAATCCTCCAAAACCAAAGGGAAAGTCACCTGCTCCCAAACCAGCCATCCCCAAGAAGAACATGAAAGCAAGGAGTGCCCCAAAGAGAACAAACTCAAAAAGAGTATGAGCTAACTGCTTTTCAAAACGGAGACTTCCTCTCAGGATGGGGACAGGCATTGCCCAAACAGCCTGTGGAAGGCGACACACCCCTTGTCTCAACAACTACAGTACTCTTCATAGACACATTTTGCAGCATTTTTCTTAATGATATGCTTCAATTTTTCTTTTTAAGCCACTGCAAGCATAGTGGTAGGTATGCCCGTTGGTATGGAAGGTATATGAAAGCTGGTCCAAAAAAAACTGGTCAAAAACTGTTTCATGTTCAGAGTAGCCTGTGTGCATACTCTATGAGAGCTCCAGATAGGGAAATATGCTTTTGTTCTTTCAATTTGACCTAGTGTGTGCATTGTAAAATAAATGTCATATTGCAATACAGCACCTAATTATTTCAGTTTGACTTCTGTTGTTAGAATCTTAGCAATTTTTAAAAAATGTGATTAAAAATATGCTTCTAAGGAGGAAAGCAAGAGTAATGAATGTTTAAAAGATCATTATGTGTTTATTGTTTGTGGAAGATTTTTTGTGATGAACGGACTTTTGAGCAATCTAGAAAAGTAAGGTATGGAAAATTGTAATGAGGTTTTGTGTTGTTTTTTGTTGTTTTTTACAAAAAAGCCTTTCTGCTCTGTTTTTAGCTATAAACTCTAGAAAATAAAATAATAATGATGATGATAAATAAATAAAAAGGAAAGGCAGGCAAACAACTTTTGGATCCTTGTTTCCTGGTTACCATGCCATGGTGGAGAGGCTTTGATTCTACATTCATGATGCTTCTCATTAGTACCCTTTAAGTAGCACCAGAAACAGAGTTCTTTTTGTTGTTATGATTGAGGTACCTGCTAGTCAGCTTCAAGTATTTTACACCTGTGGGTGTGGTGCTTGTGTCACTTCCCAGGACATCCTAGGTATCCTGAGGCCAAGTCTCTCTGCTGGTTGCAGGTGACTACAATAGGCATCAGCCTGAGGTGAGAGGGTCAGGATCCAAAACCACCGGTTGGCAGCCTGCTATGACACTACTGCCACATAGCAACTCTGCACCTGGAAAAGGTGGATCCAGCCACTTGTCCATCCACTACTCAGGAATGTAAAAGAACAATCAGAACGATTGAGAATTAAATTTCATTTAGATGTATCATTGTCCTTGCTTCTCAGATAATGGGTAAGGTACACTTCGCATTCACACAAGATAATTCAATAAATAATTTTATTTCATCCCTGTAGCCATGGGGACACAGAAGTGAAGTGTATAGGTAAGCCAGGGGAGAGTGGAAGAATAAGACAGGCAACCTCCTCCCAAAAGCATAACTTTGCCTGCACTGTTACCCCAGGGCAACAAAATTAAAGGAATCCATCCAATAGACAACCCACACAAGGGTATCAAAATACTCGGTTTGTGTTTCTGCTGTATAAAAGCCAAACCTCTTTGTCCCTTAAGGAAGCCAGATTGGTGTTTAGCATAGCATCCAAACTAAAGAAACCCAGGAAAGGCCATTAAAAGGCATTGCTAACCTAGTTTACTTTCTCAGCATACTAGGAATTCTTTGGGGGAGAGGAGTTAGAAATGAAACTCTCCATGGAAAAGGAGAAAAAAATGCTTATGTAAAACCTTTTTTTTTTTTTAGTGCAAAAGAAAGTAAAAAGAGTTTGGATATGACTTTACAAATTTAAATACTGATTACTTTGAATGTTTAAATCATATACTGATTATTACACAAAAATTTAATCAGGTACATTTTTCAGTTTGATTAATTGATAAAAGATTAACAATCCACTGTTTGTTTATGTGAAAAAGTTGAAAATGAACATAGCCCACAATATAACAAATGTGGGATTGGCCTTTTGTGTGAGAGCCAAAAGTTTATTTTTCTCACTTAAATATTTCTCCACCTAAATACATGTGAAAGGAGGTAAATATAAATATATGGAGAGGAAATTTGAGGTTCTATCTCTGAAATGAGAATTATTCTCAACACTCCCAACTTTAGGCAGCTGGGAAATGAATTACTGAGCACGTCAAAGTGAATATAGTAGGTAGGTAGGTAAGTAGAAAGATGATTGATGATAAATGATAGATTAGATAGATAGATAATAGATGATTAGATAGATGATAGATAGATGACAGGTAGATGATAGATAGATAGATGATAGATGATGATAGATAGATGATGATAGATATAGATAGATAGATGATGATTGATAGATAGATAGATAGATGATAGATAGATAGATAGATAGATAGATAGATAGATAGATGATAGATAGATAGATAGATAGATGATAGATAGATAGATGATAGATAGATAGATAGATAGAT